AGTACTACTCTGCCATAAAGAAGGATAAGCTTGAGACATTTTTAGCTAGCTCTCATGCACCTCGAGACCACACTCAAGTGAGGTGATAGGTACACACATGTAAGCCCTGCATTATTTCTCTGCCGTGAGAAACTAAAAGGTAAATAAGAACCAAAATGTATAATAGAGATTGTGAAATAGGAAGAAAGTGTTTAAATGGGCAGAGGAACTAGGATGCAGGGAGAGGAAAAGAAGGGAAAAGTAAAAAAAAAAAATGGAAACAAAGCCTTTGTAAATAAGGAAGGGAAGAGGTGTTGAAAGACAGGCAGAAAATGGGAAAAAATAAATCAAGGACTATCATGTACAGGTATGGATTGTCTATGAGTAAAGTGATCATCATATGTACCTAAAATATACTTAACTAGTAAAGAGAAACAGAAACAAGCAAAGCCCCGTGGTAGCTCATGCTACTTGTAGTATCAGTACTTGGGAGACTGAGGCAGGGGGATTGCTGCAAGTCTGAGACGAGCCGAGGCTACACAGTAAATTGAAGGAGAGCCTAAACTATATAGTGTGACCCCCTAAAAAGTGTCTAAGAAAAAGCCCAGCAGGACCTGTGGAAGTCAGTTGATCAGTAGAGTTTTAGCAAAGGTCTGGCTCACGGTGGGCCCGGCAAGTCCCCAGATTCACCTTGTAGTCATGTCCCTGTTTCGGAGTGCATGTTTGGGACAGATACACACTTAGCTCCTCACAAACCCTCACAGCGGTTCCCTAACCTGTATGGGAGGGATTACAGCTGGAGAGGCCAAGTGTAAGCCGCCAGTAGAGCTGCCTGTCTCCTGGTGAAATAGTTAACCAAACACAACCCGCAGCTCTGGAGGGACTGCAGAGGTTGGGGCCGCTCTGAAGGACTTGGGGAAGCAGGGGTGACGGTCCCCCCCACGTCCCCGTTTAATTATCATGTTTGGCCAGCACAGAAGATGGCTCGGTCCTGGAGAACGATGCTGGGTTACCATAAACTAGATCAGGTGATGGCTCCTCTTGCAGCTGCTGTACCAGATGTGGCTTCCTTGCTTGGGCAGATTAGCACGTCTCCTGGCACCTGGTGTGCAGCCGTGGATTCGATGATTGGTTCTTCCCCGAACCTATTTGCTTCCAGCTGGCAAGGCCAGCAGTACCCCTTCCCTGTCCTACCTCAGGATTATCCTGACTCTCCGGCCCCACGTTGGACTCAGTTTGCAGGATCTTGTTCACCTTCGTCTCCTACAAGGGCTGTTACCTTGACGGTGTTATGCTGATTTGACCAAATGAGCAGGAGGCAGCAACTGCTTTGGAGTTATTGGTCAGCATTCAGGAGTCGGAGGTCTGTCTCGCTCTGAAATTCCCAGGAGTCCAGTGGTGTGGGCTGTGCAGAGGGATCCCTTTGGAGGTAAAGGTAAGTTATTGCATTTGTGTAACCAAGAAAGAGGCACGATGTCTGGTGGGCCCGTTAGGATTTGGAGACAAAGCACTCCTCACTTAGGTGTGTTATTCCAGCCCATTTACCGGGCGACTCAGAAAGCCGCTAATTCTGAGTGGGGCCCAGAACCAGAGAAGGCTCTGCAACAGGTCTGGGCTGCTCTGCAGGCTGCCATCCCACTGGGGCCCTGTGACCCAGCAGACGCATGTACTTGAAGTGGCAGAGGCAGGTAGAGATGCTGTTTGCTCTCCATCAGGCCCCTGTAGGTGGAGGCCGTTAGGATTTTGGAGCAAGGCTCTGCCATCATCTGCAGACACCTGTTCTCCCTTTGAAAAATAGCCGCTGGCCTGCCACTGGGCCTTAGGGGAACTGAACACTGGACCATGGGACGCCAGGTTACCACGGGAGCAGAGTTGGCTGTCACAAGCTGGATATTATCTGATCCACTGGATTATAAGGTTGTATGTGCACAGCTACAGTCTGTTCTTAAATGGAAATGGTATACACGTGATCAAGCCAGAGCAGGTCCAGAAGGTTCAAGTAAGTTCCGTGAAGAAGATGCCCAGATGCCCACGGCTCCTCCTCCTGCCTTCTGTCTCCTAGCACCCACCTATGGCCTCGTGGTGTGTACTGTACAGTCAGCTGTTGGAGGAAGAGAAGGCTCGCGCCTGGCCTATGGATGGTTTTGCAAGAAATGAGTGGAAATTGGTGACAAAGATGTTTACAGAAGGGGGATGGGGGTAGACATGTCCATGTGAGCAAAGTGTATAAAGCTGTTTGTGGCCCAAACAAATCTAAGTACAACAAAAAGCTACCCAAAGTGACCTCAGCAGAAGAGCACTCCAATAATCACGTGGGTGGGATGGCCCATTCTGTAGGTAGCAGTCAACTCGCTTCTCCACCCACCCGTCACTGCCCAGTAGGTTCGTGGACACAGTGGCCATGGCCGCAGGGATGGAGGTCATGCGTAGGTTTAGCAACATGGACTCCCACTCACTGAGGGTGATCTGGTACAGGCTCTGCAGAACGCCCAGTGTCCAGCAGCAGAGGCCAACACTGGGTTCCAGATATGGCACCATTGCCCCGGGTGATCAGTCTGCGAGCTGGTGGCAGGCTGATTGTACTGGAGCCCTTCCGTTACGGGAAGGGCAGAGCCTCATCCTCCTGCACAGACACTGTTTCTGGGGACGGATTTGCTTTCCTTGCGACCCCTGGAATCTCAGTACTGGACTACAAGGAAGAGCAGCTCGTCACAGCTGTGTCACCTGGACTGAAGCTGTTCAGTGAGTGAAAGCACAGTAGAGAGAACGACGGACTGTGATCACCATTAATTTGCCATCTGTAACCACAGGCGCAAGGCTTATAGTTATATAATAAAATCTAAAACAAATTTTAAAATAGCCCCTCAGTGGAGTGATTCTGCCCTCAGGAAAGAAAATCTAAAAGGGATAAGAGGAAAAACTAGAGAAATAAAAGAAGAGAGAGATTAGAAGCAAGGCTGAAGAGCAAAGGAGGATGAGCCAAGCTCAGGATACCGGTGGAGAAGACAGGACAGAAAGAAAGAAGGGAAATAAAACCTGGCGACCAGGAAGCAGAGAGAGAAAGGAGGCCCAGGAGGGGAAGGCACTCCGGGTCCCACCCGGCGCCAGCCTTTTCTCCTCGGCTGCACTTCCTGAAGCACACTGCCTTGTAGGGTTCCCGTGACGCCCCGCCACACTGAGGATCAAACCCGGGCCTCTGCGTGCCAGGCAAGTGGTCCAGGCAGAGCCAGAGGCCGGAGCATGTTGCCATTCTCTGTTTTCTTGAGACAGAATCTCCCTGTGTACTCCAGGCTGGCTTCCAACTCATGATCCTTGGCCTCCGCCCACCGGGCGCCGGGCTGGGGTTACGGGACTGCGTGCCAATACACCTGCTTAGCCCACTTTTCATAGAGTAGAACATGCACTTCTGCACTGTTAGAGAAAGTAAACATGAAGAAATCATCTTGGAGACAGCGTATGAACAGCTGAGTGCCACGTGGAAATGCCACTGCCTGGCCCGAACATTCTGCGTGTGCAGAATTCTACTCACAAGCAGGGAGACTGCACCCACAAATGAAAACCTGCTGAGGTTACTTCAGAGCTCCCGAGGGCCCGGGATGGTGGTGGTTACCTGTAAACCCGGCTACTCGGGAGGGTGAAGCAAAATAGCAAGTTCCAGGCCGGTCTGGGCGAGTTAATGAGACCTTGGCTTGCAATTAACAAATAGAAAGGCTAAGGATGTAGCTCAGAGGTAAAGTGCTTGCCGAGCATGCGTAACGCTCCAAGTTCAATGCCTGGTGCAGCAAAATAGACAGACACATAATTGGAGAAGAAAAGTAACCCAGAGGTCTAATCTGGAGAGGGGTAGCTCAGTGATAGAACATGTGCCTAGCGAGTGCGACGCCCTGGTTGCGGTCTCCAGCACCACGAAAACAAATGCATGAATAGAATAAACCAGAAAGAAATCTTCCCTTTGGGATACTGATTTTAAAAGCCAACAGATGAGTCACGTGTGAGGCTGCACCTGCAAGCTCAGCACTCACTGTGAGAGCCCGAGGCAGGAGAGTCACAGGTCTGAGCTGCGCCTGGGCACCTTAGGGAGACACTGCTGAGGAGAAGGGCTGGGGATACCGCTCGCGCAGAGCACTTAGATCTCCAGTACAGAAAACAAAAAGCAGCTGAGTTTGAAATAACCACATAAAAACTCATTTTCCTTTTCAGGTTGCACATTCTACCCTTTAAGAATGAATTCTACCCTGGGCATGGTGGCACATGTCTGTAATCCCAACACTGGGGAGGCTGAGGCAGGAGGATCACTATGAGTTCCAGGCCAGCCGGGGCTACAGAATGAGACCCTGTCTCAAAACAAACAAACCAAAACAAAAAAGAATGAGTTCTACATGCAGTTTACAAGGAAGTGAAGTAGGGATGTTTCACAGTTAGAGGTAAAGTTACCTGTAAAGAGGTTAGAGGTTACTTACGATTACATTAATCGTATCTCTGTATACCTGACCTTCACTCCTAAAGTACTATCGTTAGTATATTTTGTCATTCTGCCTAACTCATTACCATCTTCCAAATAGAATCAAACTTGGCTTATCATGTGTGAGAATTTGAGTTCAATCTCTAGCACCGAACAAACAAAAAATGAAAAAGAAATCAAACTCCTTAGCATGACCTGGTCTCTGGAAGGTGCAGCATCATTTCCTCTCTGTCTCTGTCTCTGTCTCTTTGAGACAGAGTCTTGCTATGTAGCTCAGACTGGCTTCGAATTCTTGGAGATCCTCCTGCCTCAGCCTCCCGAGTGTTGGGATCATAGGTGTGCACCAACACGCCTGGCTCACGTATCTCTCTGAATTTTACACGTCATTCTTTCATGCTTAGAAAAAGCCATCCTTCTTTTCCTTCCCGAGGAGTTCTCAGAAGCATGAGTTCTTTTAGGAATCCTGTCGAGCCCACGCCCGCAGGCTTTGCCTGTCCTCCACTGCAGCTTTCTCTGTGGTAGCACTGAGCACCCGACTTCCTCTTCGCACAGAGAGGTACTGGAGCCGGAAGCTGTGGTGGTGGCCTCTTGGTTCAGCAGCTTCCTGACTGCAAAGGAGAACTGAGCAGGAGGACAGGAGGACAGGAGGACAGGAGGACGCAGGCCGGCCAGGGCCGCGGGGCAGCAGCAGAGCCCGCTCACCACGGTAAGGCGGGCGGAGGCCCAGGCCCAGGCAAGGAGCCCAAGAAGGGAGCAGGGGAGTCGTGCGGGCCCAGGGGCGCGGCTGGGCACACCCACGGGCAGGGGTGCAGTGCCAGGTGCGCAGCGCAGGCGGGGCCGGCACCCGGTGGCCGGGTTTCCTGCCCACCGTGTCCTGCGTCCCAGCACCCGAGGCTGCCTGCTGGGCCGGCCGGGCCCTGACCGCGCTGTGGCTCAGCCCTGTGGCCCTGCGCAGGGCGTCCCCAAAGCTCCCTGCAGAGTTCTTGGGTGGGAAACCTGCCCTCCCCCTCTGCAGAGCGTGCACTTTTCACCAAATCTCACAGGGCACTTTGGGGTAGGTCGCGGTGGTGGTTAGTGCTCTGCCTGGTACTGTACATGTTTGGATGTGGCCTGCTTTTTCTACTCTAGAGAAAGATTACCGCGAGGAAACTGCCCTGGCTTCACTCAGTGGAAGAACCACGGTCACGTGTGCATGCATGCGTGTGTGGGCGCGTGTGTAGAAATGTCTTTGGGCCCCTTCTGCGCATTGGTTGTGTTTCTCACCACTTCAGATTCGTGTTAGTCTTTATTTTTGCTAATGGGAATGTTGACTTAGAAAAAACAATGATGCAGAACCCAAAATTTTAATCCAGGTTGTTGAAAGAAAAAAACAAAAACAAAAACAAAAACAAAAACAAAGGAAATGCATATATAATAATCCATTAAAGTTAGTCTAAAAACAATCTGCATTCTTCTAGGCGAGACAGGTTTTTGCTGTAGCTGTCCTGGTTGCTTGCTATGTAGCTTTGATGTTTTGTATGTCTTGGAATTTGAAATTAGAAATCAGTGTGGCAGTTGTGCCTGGATCCTCTGATTGAATCATGATTCATTATAACTAAGACATGATGGTTTTTCCAAAAGTATCCAAGTTTGCCAGAGTGAGCATTCCCATCTGTCAATAATTATGTTTTTATTTATCTTAGAATGAACAAAAAGTAAAGGAGAATTTACTGAAACTATTCATAGTTCTAGTGCTGAGGTACCCAATACCATAGCCATTAGTTACATACTGCTATTTAATTCTTGGACTGTAGCTATTCTGAATTGAGATGTACTACAAGTGTAAGAAATATATGCTGAGTTTTGAAGTCTTAGTTAAAAAACATAAACGACATAAAAAGACATCTTTGTATTGATGGATATTAAGAGGGTAATATTTTTGATATAATAGGTTAGAAAATTTATTAAAAGCTAACTTCGCATATTTCTCTTTAGAAAATTTAAATTTATTTTGTGATTGGCATTACATATCTGTAGGATAGCACTGAATTATTATATGCTATAATTTAGGTACTTTCACTATAAAAAGATTGCCAGGAAGCTGTGGGAAAAATCCACTATAATAATAGAGGCAAATTATGAATGGTCTACTATGCTTTAGACATTGAGATTTTTACATGACCTATTTGCTTTGTCCTAAATATTATTAGATAGGTCTTATTCTTACTTTATGACAAGTAGGCTGGAACTCTAAGAGGTTGAAGAAAATTGTGCCTAGGCCAAGTGTGCAAAATGACAATGTGCAAAATGAACCCACCTTTACCTGGCCCCAGAGATCTTCCCTTTCCACTTTTTCCTTCTCAGAGACCGGCACTGTATGCTACAAGAGACCCTAGTGCCAGTCGTGACTGCAAGGACTCACCAGACTGTTACTGCAAAATAAAATTGCTTTTGGTTTTTTACTTGAATGAAAATAACATGTGAGTTCCTGCATGCAAAATTATCAGGGAAAACTTTCCCATGGTTCCCCTCCCCCACATCATCCCAGCTAGGAACCACGGTTGTTTATTAATGCCTGAGAATCCATCAGCTTCTCCTCAGGGCTTGACAGAAGAGTGGACACTCAAATACACTCTTGAGGGTGGTGGCCACCTCACGGCTGCTCCAGACAAGAGCGACTCAGCGGTGGCTGTTTCTTTTTACCTCCTCCTCCGTCTCCCCACTTCCTTTCCTCCCTTGCTTTCTTTTCTAGTGTGGGGGCTGGACCCAGGGCCATTGTACTAAGCTACATCCCCTGCCCTTATCTATTATTTTTTTTAAGACAGAGTCTTGCTACATGGGTAAGTTGCCCAAGTTTGGGCCCCAACTTGCAATCCACCCACGTCTGTATTCGTGCTTCTATTGCTGTGTAACAAATGAAGGCAGGCTAAGCCGGCTGAAGCCACACATGTTGATGAGTTACACACTCTGTGGGTTACAAGTTCAGCCCACAGCATCGCACGCTTGGCAGCAAGATGTTTTCAAGTCCAGGTTTCATTTGGAGGCGCTGGAGCAAAGATCAGCTTCCGAGGTCTTTCTTCTTGGCAGAATTCAGTTCCCCATGGACACAGGACTGAGATCTGTTTCTTTTTGGGCTGTCAGCCAGGGCCACTCCTGCTCCTCCAGGCTGTGCGCATTTCTAGCTGCGGCCCCACCCCCACCTTCTAGTCTGCTTCCCAAATCAATTCCTTTCATGCTTCGAATCTGACTTCTTCTTTTGCCCCTAGCAGGATAAAATTCTCCACTTTCGTGGGCTCGTGTCCTTCGAGCAGGCCCACCTGGATTACCTGGCTGCACCTGGAGACTGATGCAGGGACTGTTAGGGGAGAGGCAGGGACATTTGTAACAGGCTGCTCACCAGGGGCCAGCATGGTCTAGGCAAGCACAGGTGTGCTAGCACAGTCACAGAGACGGGAGCAAGGTGCCAGAGCCCTCCTCGCTATTTGAGTTATTCGTATTATTTTTGCCACACTGGGGATTGAACCATGACCTCCAGACTGATTTGAGATGAGGGTCTTGCTTGGGCTTGAACTCCTCCTGCCTCAGTCTCCCAAGCATGTGGGATTTCAGTACGTGCCACCATGGCTGGTTCCAGCTACTTAGTTAGCAGTAGGGACAAAAGCACAACTGAGTCACTCAGATGCAGTTAAGCCTTGCAGATGGAATGTAAAGTATCCTGGTTTGGTACTTTCCCCTCCTTCCAACTTTACCCCCAATTTTTACACAGCTTTGGGGACAGCAGGTAGACTTGTGTGCCAACAGAAAGTGGAACCATTTGTGTCCTTCCTGTTATAAGGGCACCAGTCTCCAGGGGCGTGCGGACCACTGCACGCTCTGGGGCTGGAGCCCCAGTGAAGCATGCAGCCTGCGCCCGGACTTCCTAACAGGTCCTGGAGCTGGTTCTGCTGGTCCTGCGGGCCTGGCAGCTGCAGGAGTGTGCTCTCTCGTGACTGCCGGGTTTTGAGGAGGTTTTGAGGAGGCACGGCTAGTGCGGGTGCCACGCTTGGTTTCCTGCCTTTTGCACTGGCCTCCCCACTCTGCAGTGCCAGTCCGAGGCCCCTCCTGCCAGGCACCTCCCAGGCGCCTCCCTGAGCCTTCGCCTGAGCCTTGCGCTTTCTCCCCAGCCACGGAGTCTCTGTCTTTGCTGCCGTAATTGCCTGCCCTTAGGTTTCTTTTAGCTGACTCATGTTTCCAAGTTGAACAAACTGCAACATCTTCCCTGACACAGGAGGAAAATCTGTAGAAATCTGTATTACTTGCTGCGCATGTGGGAATTGCAAGAAGAAAGAAAAAAGGGAAAATTTGTGCTGTCTGGTGGTCTCTAGCCTGACATAGCAGATGCCCCGGACTTTCTCCTCTTCCTTAGTATCTGTCTCCAGAGGCAAAATTTAGTACGTTTCTTATGGTTTCCTTTTCTTTTTTTAACTGAGGGACAGACAACAATGCAGTTAGATCGTGGACTGTGTGTTGAAGCTGTGCATACCTTAATTCTCTCTCTCTCTCTCTCTCTCTCTCTCTCTCTGTCTCTGTCCCCTTACGAGTGAGTGACTTCCCACAACACCTGGACAGAGATGTGTGCCTGTTAGCTTGGAAGCCACCTCCTCTCTCTCAACAGCAGACCACCTTCTTCCCCCGAGGCCCATCTGGAGTATCTTTCCCTCCCAGACACCTTTTTCTGACCCACTGAGACCTCTGACATCTCTCCTTGGCATTCACAAGCCTACTGTGTCTTATTAGTCAAACACTGCCTTTTGCAAAAAGACAAAGGCCTGGCTTTCTGTGGAGCTTTCCCACAGTGCTTGGTTTGCTACCTGGCAAGCAGAGGACATTCAGTGCATACTTGTGGTTTGATGAGTACCAAGGGTCAGCTCTAGGTAGAAGAAAAGGCAGTGCTTGGCTTTTCTTGGGTTCCCATTCAATTTTTGGCCCCTTCAGTGACAGAAAAGGCCTTTTTCCTAATTTCCATGTGCCTTCTGATATTTCTCAGTCTCCTCAGATCACAATTCATGTGTCATGTTTCTCATTACTAACTTGACTAATTTGCTAAGATGTTTGATGTCTGCCATTGGGTTGTATATTGTCTTATTTTTTTTCTATCTTCAAAAGCACCCAAGGCAGATCATGTGAAGTGTCCACAGCTTGACACAGAACTTAGGGCTTCTTCTCTGCACATCATGCACTTTGTATAATTAGGAGTGGCCATGTAATTTATCATAGAAACCTGAACAGAATTGAGTATGAAAGGAGGCACGAATAGCTGCTAAGTCAGGACTAGAGATGCCCTCCACAGACCAGGAAGTATGGTCACATGACTTAAAAGTAGGCGCGCATTACATGTTTGTCGCTTTTTGTTCAACCGTGAAGCTGTTTTAGGTCTGGGCCTTATTTTTCACTTCCTTTGTTGTCTAGAACTGTGTCTAGCACATTGTGGTGATAGAGAAAATGGTCGTGCCCCTTTAAAAATGTTCACTGAATTGAACACGTTTTTTTTTTTTTTTCTTTCCAAATCCATTTTATTGAAGGATAAAAAGAAAAAAATGAAGAAAAAACCCTACAATTTAATTTCACTACACATTGATTGGGGGCCACAATGGTACACATACTGTGCCTTGTCATCCCCGAATTATTCACCCGGAGCACAGGGCATCTGCATTCAATTGTCCAAACAGGACCAGTGCAAATCTTTCTCTTCAGTGAACTCAGAGAAATCAGTAGTACAACTACCTCAACTATTTTTATTTACATACACATTTTTTTCTTTCAGCTTGTCACACTAATGAGACAATACGAGGTTCACACGTGTGAACACTAGTTCTTTTTTTTTTTTTTTTGTCTTTTTCATTTTTATCGGTACCAGGGATCGAACTCACGACTGCCTGCTTGCAAGGCAGGCGCTTATGCCGCTGAGCTAAATCCCCAGCCCTGAACACTAGTTCTTGATGCAGAACGCAAACAGTACCATTTGGGCCCCTGTATGAGGCGTTTTCTCATATTACTATGAATATACAGCAATGAGCTTAATTATATACTTGTGTAAAGATAATAGCTAGCATTTCCTCACCAGCTCTTAGCCTGTGCCAGCCCCAGGGCTAAGAACTTTGAGTTTTCTCCTTGATTTCTCACAACAGCCCTTGAGGTAGGGAACACTGTCAGTCCTGCTAGGAGAAAGGAAGGTCAAAGAAACTTTGCTCAGAATCCTCTACCTAATTGTGAAGCAGAGTTTGGACTGGAATTCTGGGCTGATTCCATATACTGTCTCTACATGTGGTAAAATGGCTGATTCCAAGTTTTCGAAAGGAGTTTTTAAAAAATATATTAATAGCATACTTTTAGAAAAACCCACTTAAGATTTTAAAAGGATAATTTAAGTAAAAAAAATTTGCAGAATCAGACCAGTGTGAGTTACATGAATGCTTTTCCATGAGCTCTTAAGTGATGATTAGCCGTTGGCATGTTGCTGCCTGTTGTCTGAGGTGTGAAAGCTTTCACTTGTTATGGATTAGTGTACAAAACAAGTTTCTTTTGTACTGCAACAGTTGGTTTCACTTATCAGCATTTCAATGTATACTATCTGTATAAATTGTGAAGTTAGCTAATTTCTACCCTTGTCTTTTGGAGCAAGATTATAATTAGTAACACCTGTAAGACAGTACAGAGCCATCATATTATTGACCCTAGAAAAAATTTTAAATTATTAATATTTTTAATTAAAACTACATTTTGATATTCATGAAAGCTACTGTCGAGCAATTGTGTAAAGAACAATATAATTTTATTATCAATTCAACTGTAAGGCAAAATCTGTAGGTTTAAATTGTTTTGAATCATTAGGGATAAAATTAAATATGTAAGGAGATTGTGTTATGAATATAACACTGAGCAATTAATTATGCACCTATACCCATACTATACTCGTGTATGATTGAATGGAATTGTGTCCTTGACTTTCTACTGATGAAAAGGTATCAGTAGAATAGCTATAGCAACTTAAGTTAGATCACTGCTGTTCAATCATGTATCATGGGCTTTTTTATAAACAAAAAAATTTAAAAATTTGGTCACATAATGAATTTTATCATTTATGGCTAAATGGTAGAAAATAGTAAGCCATTTGAACCCAATGTGATTACATTTTTAATTCAGAGAAAGGAATACAAGTCCATATATCAAGATCAGCAATTTTTTCTTTTTTTGCCGTAGGAAATTTTTAGAAATATGCCTGAGTATCAAATCAATAAATTTCTACCCTATCATATTATTCCTATTCAGTGAAATAAGGTATCACAATACCACTGGTCAAAAACTGCATTAAATGTCATATCAATGGTTATCACTGAACTTAGGGTAACTGGAAAATTAAAATGTTTATATGATGCAGGTTAGGGTCTTACAATTAGCTGGCAGGTATTGGAATAGAGAAAATTTAATTTTTTAAAGAAAATTTGAAATTTAAAAAATGACTTTTTAATTTTTTTGCTTTATGCTTTTTATTATCCCAGGGAAGGTTTTTCATTTTTCATTTCTAGGCACTTGGGGCGTCTCAGTTGAACAGAACACACAAAAATCCTAACTTCTGTGGGGGGAGCCAGACATTAAGAGATGGGCACAGGGAATAAATAAATGATAGACCGCTGCAGTGTGTGAAAGGTCTTGAGTAGGACTGCTGGTTGGTGTGGAGCTGCAGGGTGATGTGGTGCGGACTAACGATCAGCATTAAGCAGCAGTTTGTACGAGGATGACCAAGTGTGAAGTCGGTAATGGGGAAGAAGGTTCCAAATCCGACGCAAAGCAACGCATCTGGAACATTCAAGCACCAATGCGCAGTTAGAGACTGACCATGATTCTTAAAAGGAAAAAGCAAATCCAAGGACTCTGCGGGCCACTAAATACCTCCGCTTCTACCGTGAATGCTGGTTGGTTCTGATCGGCTGGGACGCGAGCAGACCTTCCCCGTGGGGGGGGGGGAACTCTCCCTGTTGCCTTGACAACAAACTCGCTTTGCCGGCGGGCCGGCGGGCCATTTGGGACGTCGCTGTATGCTGCCCAGAGCCCATGAACGACGCAGAGGACCCTAATGCGATTCGAAGGAACAACCGTCGAGCTTTCCCGGCAGCCGAGATCAAAGTGAGGACGAGCGGACGCGGAGGACCTGGGGTCGCCGGGCCGCCGCCCAGGGGCTGGAAGGCCGCCCGCTAGTCCCGGGGCTCGGTCCGCGGTGCTGGAGTCCCCGGCCCGCACTACGTCCGGCGTCTGGGCTGCGAAGTTTTACGCGCGCGACCCAACCCAGGGGTCTCTCGAGTCGGTGGCGGCGGTCACAGTGTCGCTGGGCACACACAGTCCTCCCGCTGCCGGCGCGGGGCGGAGGCTCTCGGCCTCGGGCTGGCGAGAGGTTGATTCGATCTTTGTGATAGTGGAACGCTGTCAAATAGGTGACCAGGTCTCGCGGGCCGCCATCTTCCCGCTCTCCCGCCAGGCCGCGCGCGCGGGGTCTCGCAGCCCACCCGCGGGTCGTCCTCAGGAGGCGGGGCGGGGCCGCGCCTCTCGAGCCTCTGCTCTGCGCACGCGCGCTGCCTGTAGCTACGCCCACCGGCGGGGGGCGGGGCCAGGAAGCGGCGAGCGCGCCGGGGAGCACAGCTGCGGGTGTGGGGCTGGCAGGAGCCGTGGTGCCGGGGCCGTGAGCGGCTGCGGCCGGGGTAGGCTGTGAGACAAAGGCGAGGGTGAGTGCAGCGCCGGCCCCGGGCCGCTTCTCCGCGGCCTTCGGGTCAGGGGCCGCAGCCCCACAGTTCCGCAGCCCCGCACGGCGGCTCGGCCCGGCCCCTCCCGACGCGCGCTGCGGGCAGTGGGCTGCGGTCGCGGCCGCACGGGGCTCCATTCTCAGGTCCGGGCGCTGTCCTGCGGCGCTCGGAGCTGGCTCGGCTGGCTTCCTTGTCCGCTTGGCGGGGCCCGCGCGGCGCTCGGAGCGGGCTGCGGGTGGCGGGGGCGGCGCAGCCCCGAGCCGCTGACGAGGACGGCGCGCCCCTCCCCCGGCGCGGGCTCGGCGGCGCGGGAGGCCTCAGGTGCGGCTCGGCCCGCGCCCCGCGGCCCTGGACGGGCCTGACCCGGCCCGGGGTGGGAGCCCGGGCTCCGCCTTGGCGCGGCAGCCACTCGTACAGGTTGTTTCCCGGCGCCGGTCGCCGCGGTGAGTGAGGGCGGTGACGGGCGTGGCAGGTAGCGGCCCGCTGACGTCGCGGCCGCCGCTGCGGGGCTGCCTGGCCAGCCAGTCGTTGACGGCGCGGTGTACCGGTACCGGCGAGCGTCCGGGGCTCTCGAGCGGCGGATCACCGGGCCTGAGCCACCAGTGTGACAGCGCGGCGGGCCACTCTGGCGTGCGGTGCGGTGAATGAATGGATACCGAAACGGCGGGCAGGGCTGGCCTCTCGTTTGTTGAGATTGGGGCTCGCCCTCTTGGCAGGTTGGGGAGAAAGAGGCAGAAAACCGCTGGGAGACTTACGTACTTATTTCTGTCAAACAAATGCAGGTATATTGGTGAATATAGTTACTAGGGTCACAAGCAATGCATTCGAAACGTGAAGTGTTTCATTGTAAAAGTTGGTGTGTGTGCAATTTTTGTTTCTTAAAAAACTGGCCTGATTTCTGATTTTTTTTAAAATGGAGAAATTTATTGGAGAACAGGGATAGAGAATAGGGATAGCTCTTGAGGGACGAGAGGGGTCCCGGATGGTTGCCTCTCCTTTTATTTTTTAAAATAATGGAGATGATGAAAAGGGAGTTTGGAAATTGCATGGTGAGGCTGAGCTTTCTGTTTCGTTATGAGTAAAGACACGTACTTGCTTTTCAGGGACTGTGACTGGCATGGTCTTGAGTTTTTCACGTTTGTTTTTTCGTTCTGGGGATTGAACCCAGGGTCCTCCTACTGTAGCATCTGCCCGGTCAGCCCTTTAAAATTATTATTAATATTACTTTTTTTTTTTGTATTTTGAGGAAGGATCTCATCAAGTGTCTAAATTGTCCAGGGGACACTTAAATTTAAATTTATTACGATTTTCCTGCTTCAGCCTCCAAGAATGCTTGGATTACAGGTAATCCACTACACATTGCTATGGAGTATCTTTTGAGTCAGGGAGAGTTTTGAACTACGGGCTGTTGGGATGGGAAATATAGTGTTGCGTTAATCTAATTAACAACATCACTTACAGGTACTTGGTAAACTATTTTGTGCTTCGAGGGATGTATCTTGGAAGTCGAGATTCTAGAGACAAATAAAACCTAGTTAAATCCTTTTCTAAAACTCAGGTCAAAAGTTCTTACTGGCGATGTGGTGGGTAGAGGCTTCTTAAGTCCCCAGTTTCTGCTTAAGTTGGGGAAGGTGGCAGGTGCACTGCAGGAAGTGTCCTTGTCCTTTTAAAGGTTAATAAGTAACTTTTGTTAGGACTGAAATTACTGGGTTACACTTCCACATTGTCAGGTGAATAAAATTTATGTTTTAAAATGAAGGAGAAAAGAGTTCAAAGAATTATTTTAATTTTCTCCCACATATTAGAAAATTCTGGTGCAGTGTTTTTTGAAGGGTAATGTAGTCCTGTGTCTGTTTCCTGTAAATAGTTCTTGGGATAACATTTTCAAACTTTAAAAATCCCCAGAGATAAACGGTGGATTTTTTTTTTTTTCTGTTAATGATGGAATGGGATAGGGATGTAGCTCAGTGGTGGAGTACTTGGGTCTTGCATGTGTGAGGATTTGGTTTCTATTGCGAGCACCACGAAAAACAAAAAGAACGTAACTCTTGGATTCAACTATTTTATTTTGATCTTTTATTAACAATTACAAACACAGAATTGACTTTGGTAGTATGTACTGAAGAGGGAAGGATTACAATTTGTGGCTCTGTATTTAGATTTTCTCTCGTATTAAAACTGTGAAATCTGCTTTTGAAAACTGGAGTTTAGCAGTATATTTATTCTGAACATAAAGTTGAGTTATTCCTCCCCATTTTTTTTTTTTTTTTGGTCTTTTTGAGACAGGGTCTCACTATGCAGTTTAGGCTGGCCTTGAGTTCACTTTGTAGCCCAGGGTGGTCTCGAATTTGCAACAGTCCTCTGCCTCAACCTCCTGAGTGCTGGGATTACAGGCGTGTGCCACCATGCCTCTTTTCTGTGTCATTCTCCTTTTCCTTCTCCTCACTAGGGACTGACCCCAGGACCTCATGCACTGTCACTGGGCTAATCCCCCAGCTTCTTTATTGGCTATTTGTATCATATATATATATATCTTTAAAAAGCACATTCTCGCACTATGTGACCTTCCATTGGGGTTTGTATGTGATGCCATGTACCATACAGCCTAGCTGTGTTGTAGCATCTACCATCTAGCATTTTGTAAATTATCTGATGTTCATACAAGGACAGAAACTTCTAATGACACATTTTTCAGAGTCTCTCCTAACTCTTAAACAATGTTGACTGTTTGGCTTCTCAGAAGTCCAGAGTAATCTGATCTTTGTAGTCATTCTTGATTATGACAAAATAATGTAGGTTACTAATGTTTTCACAATTGGCTTTTATATTTAGTGGACCTTTTGATTTATTAGTGCTTATAACATTATGCATTGTTGCTATGTGTACCTTTAAATAGAACTTTTAAATATTAAACTTACAAGATACTTGGTTTTAATGGTTGCACCTGGGATTAGTGAGAAAAGTAATCCCTTAATTTTAGTGATAGCGTGTCATTATAGATTTTCTTTAAATATTGTAATTCTTGTAAGAATAGTAGCTGGATGTGGTGGCTCATGCCTCCTTCTACATCTGAGACAACAAAAGCTTTCTAAACGTAAAATCAGTCCAAATTATTTCTGAAATCATCCTCGTGAAAACTGAACTACGAATCCACAAATGAAAGAGACAAAAAAAAAATTCAGAGACTTCAGCATTTATACAAAACATATAATCCTGGAGTTTAGCCTCAAGCATTATGAACTACTCCAAAGTAGGACTGAGGGAGGAGGGTTGCTCTGAGTTGTGGGCCAGTCTGGCCTTACTGAGTTCATCACCAGCCTGAACTAGATAGAGAAACCATATCTAAAACAACCCCAGAAAACAAAAACAAAAAAGGAATAGTTACTCAGTAATGTAGCACTCCTAACAGTCTACCATTGATGGGAAATCTTACAGTAAATGGTAATAGCTGGCAAGGAACCACCAACACAAGCTGCAATTTTAAATAAAAGATGGTTGGGTTTTGGATAAGCAATTAAGAATTTGTCACAGTCGACAACATTTTGAGGAGTAACTCAACTATTTTTTAATATCTTTACAAATAGTGTAAATGTTTTCAAAGTATTCCTACTTTGGAGTAGTTCATAATGTTTGAGGCTGAAGTCCGGGATTGTATATTTTGTATAAATGTTGAAGTATTTCACATTTTTTGGTGTGTCTCTTTTGTGGGGAGGTAGTTCAATTTTCATGAGGATGATTTTAGAAATAATTTGGACTAATTTTAGAGATAGAAAACCTTTTCTCGGATGAAAGTAATAAAATGATTAAGAATGATGTTACTCTAGCGTACTAGGCAATGCACACCTTCACCTGTGTACATTGAGAAAGATTTAGCAGTTAGTATGTTTCTTCAGTGCTTTGTAACTTGATTTCTCGATTTACTCTCTAGGATAAGTTTCTGTTAAGTTTTTTTGTTTTCTTTTGTTTTGTTTTTGTCTTTTTGAGACAGGGCTTCATTATGTAGTGGGCTGGCCTTGAATTTACAGCAATCCTCTTGCCTCAACCTCCCTCTTGGCTCACTCCGCCTCTTTGAATGCTGGAATTACAGGTGTGCACCACCTCTGCCGCCTCTTTATCTCAGGAAATAATGAACGTTAAATGTTAGTATTGCTTTTGATCTGTCTCAGATGGAGGCAGCGCAGAGGTTCACCATGAATTCTTAACAGCAATTGAGTGAAACTCATACATATCTATCTGCCTGGTAGATCAGGGCATCTTTTCCTGATTTTCTTTTTTTTTAATACCACCTGGAAACAGTTGGGATTTAGTTAGTTTAGCTGGTTAATTATTAACATTATCCTGCTGCCTCAGTTCAAAACTTGTACTTGAAGCTTTCTGTAATAGTAACAGTGAATGGAGCAGGATTTACCTGGAACTGCTCTGGAATCCTGTCCATAGGGAGTTTCTACACTGACATGTCAAACACTAGGTAAAGAGTAGTCTTTGTTCTGACACTAGAATGTATTTGCAAATGTAGTTTAGTCCTAGAAAGCATTGTATAAGTCTCCTTTAAGTCTGAGTGCCTTTGACAGTGATTAAAATAATGCGCCCTGATATTTCCGTTGTGTTGCTTACCTGCTTAAGAAGTTATGGTACTGAGTATTGAACCCACGGCTTTCATACTGAGCCAGCAGCCCCAACTGTTTTTCAAAGAAAGAATTTTGTTTTAAACTTTGGGACAGGATCTTGCTAAGTTCCTAAATTGCCCAGACTGGTCTCAAATTGGTAATCTTCCCACCTCAAGCCTCCCAACATGCTGGGATTATAGGCATGCACTTCCATGCCAGGCGTCATACTAAAGTTTCCTGTAATATCTTAATGATAGAATTTTTGTAAGTATCTGTACTAAAACATTGACATTTTTTATTTGATTTAATAAGTAAACTAGCTTGACTTTTTTTTGAGATAGTGTCTACTATGCAGTTCAGGGCAGCCTTGAACACACTTTGTAGCCCATGCTGTCCTCAAATTCATAGTGATTGTCCTGCCTCTGCCTCCTGAGTGTTGGGATTACAAGTGTGCACCACCATGGCTGACCATAGTTGGACTTCTTGCTTAATAAAGTGAAGCACAATTTTTTATTACGTCCAGCACTACACATATTTTTTGTATTTTATATGTATTATGTTGTGCATATGTATTGGGAAGTTGTAGGTATTTGTGGAACTGGTATGTTCAGGAAGAGACTTGGTAAAATTAAACGAAGCAATTTACTCTCACTTGGAGTCTTAAAGCTCTGCCTATTAAGAAGTCTTTATTGGGGGCTGGGGATTTAGCTCAGCGGCATAAGTGCCCTTGCAAGCAGGCAGTCGTGAGTTTGATCCCTGGTACCGATAAAAAGGAAAAAGACCAAAAAAAAAAAAAGAAGTCTTTATTGCTGC